AAAATCAATTAAATACCTACTGCTTTTTATAAAAATGTAGTTTATGCTAATTTTCCACAAATTTCTTGATTAGCAGTTACTGCCTTTCTCCATAGTAGGGCAGTATGCTATTAATAATATAGTATATATTTATATAATCGCCGACGGTGGACGAGTGGTTAGTGCTGCTGACTACAAGCCGGAGGTCGTGGGTTCGAATCCCACCAGGGGTATGGCTGTTTATTTGTGTTTGTCCTTTTGTGTAATAGTCCTTCGGAGGGGACTTTAAGCCCGCAGTCCGTTCCTACCCCTAACCCGCACAAGCCATTCAGTTGGCTTATGGGACTTCTTAAGAAGTAAGGGTGGAACTAAAAGTGCACTTTGGTATAAACTTTGGTATAATATGTATGGGTCTCTCCATGTGAAATTTCTAACAATTAAAAATAAATATTTTAGATTGTTTTTAATGGTTTTGGTGCTATGATGTACAGAATACAGGGTGCACAAGAATACTTTTTTTAAAATTTATTGATCAATGATCAAATGGCCAAGTTTAGCATAAACTGTTCTACCACTTAACTCTAGACGAACACAAATAAACAGCCATACCCATGTGGGATTCGAACCCACGACCACTCGACTTGTAGTTCGCAGCACTGACTACTACACCATCTAGGGCGGGTGGTGTAGTAGAGGAATACTATGTGCATCCTTTTATGGGTATTTTTTTATTTAGAGAACTACAAGGTCGATATATTAGAAAAAAGGTTGTGTAATTACAAGTTTATTAAAATGAAATTTATAAATTAAAAAAAGGGGTTCTCAAAATATTATATTAAAAAAATCCATTATGTCGGTCATATTGGAATTTTACATGGTTAAATATATAAAAACGATGTTTCAAACTATAAATCATAATTTATGTCGGCCATTAGTTATAATGGTCATGGTTACTCAAAATATAATACCGAAGAATTATTTAACCTACCTTGTAGCTCTTCGAATAATTTGGACCACCTGTATATTTAATCCTAAAGATAGGACGGTTCGCTGGCTTTTTACGAAAAAAATTTCATTTGCCAAATTTGTTTAGCCATTTTTAATATTCAATAATGTAAAATTATTTTGTTTTAATTACGTCATAAAACAAAAAGTAAATACTGATATATATATATACCTATATATATATATATATATATATTTTAAATTACCTAAGCTTAAGCATTCTAACCTTCAACGCTGAAATGCAGTATCTCCAATGTAAACAATAAAAATAATCTTTTGAAAGGATACCTAATTACTTATTATTGGAAATACTGCATTTTAGCGTTGTATAAAACAACCTGTATATTTATATTTAAATATAATTGTGAGATGATGGGTTAAACAGTTTCTGACCTCATATAACAATGAGGATTTGAGATATAAAGTATTTAAACTAGGATGTCTTACAACTTATCCAAAGAAAGTTTTACTATATGCACTTTTTAATAATTTAACTGCTTGATATATAAATTTATATAAAATTCTATTTTTTTCAACCAAAGCACCATGCCTTTAGTTCAACTATTTCAAACGTTCGTCCTTTCTGCTGTCCCTCAGTACGCAGATTTGACAATTTGATTGTCCTTTTAATTGAACAGCCATTTTACGTTACTCGGCAATTTTTGTAATAAAAAATTGAGAGTAAAAACTACTGCAATTATTATTCTTATAAGCTTAAGCCTTTTATTACAAGCATAATAAACATGTTTCCAACAGTAGCTATTTGGGTAGTATTTAATTTAACTACGGTAGCTAACAATTTTTTATTATTACGGTCTCTACAAAAATTGCCGAGTAACGTAAAATGTCTGGGAACTTTTATAAAAAAAAATATATTAGAATACTTATTTAAAAAAGCATTTGTCAGATAGGTTTTAAAACACCCTGTGTTATGCTGCCACTTTGTTGTATAAACCTGATTAGTTAATTAAAATAAATATCTACCTATAAGGTTTTGGTTTAAATAATTTTATACAGCTTGGTATTGAAAATGATTTTTAAATTTTTCATATATCTGAGTGCCACTTGATTAATTACAATTAAAGCCAAAGGATACAAGTGATTAAAAAAAATGGAGTTAAGTACTGGAATATATAGTAAAAGGTAAATTTTACTTGGTAGCCAAGGCATATATACTCTTGAAAAACAAAGTCATAAAACGACAAACCATTTTGTCTATATATAAGTTTTTCATGATAAACGTCTAATTTTAAACTAATTAGATGGAATCACGCAAGAACGTCGAAAAACTAGGTATCATTTATATGTCACAAACATTTTAACCCACCCTCGTAGTAGTGTCATCCATGTCAAGTAAGCCAGTTTGAGAAAATTTAATTTATAGATAAACGTGATAAATAATAATAATAATAATAAAATCATTTAAAAAATTACAATATTAGTTTAAAACATTTATTTGTATGATTTCTTTGTAAAGGTATTTATTTACACCTTATTCTGAGACATATTCATAAAAAGTCAGACCCTACAAAAGCCCTGTTGGATCAACAAACTATTTTTCTTTATATTGGCAAAAGAGATTTAACATGTTAATACATGAAGAAAAAGGTTTAGTAAACTTTTAAATGGTTTCAGAAAAATAAAATTGAAATAAAAACACCACAAAAATTATTAAGCAACAAACTGTCCGATTTGACATGGTTTGACCAAATAATAGTAACTGTTCATACTTAAAGTTTTACTGGTATTTGTGACAGAATTTTGTAAAGATGAACCAGGCATTGCAGAAAGTTCAGATTCTTCTGTGGGAGAGCACTCCATCGGGGTTGGAATAAAGGTGTCAAATTCCTGCTCTGGCTCATCCTTAGTATTTTGAAGTCCTAAACACAAAAATAGTATTAGAAATTAGCTATTTTCGCGGAGCTAATCCCGAACTAATTCCGGACATCCTAGGCATGCGCTTTTTAAAATTTGGCTTTTAAATTGTAAAGTGCGCATGACAAATATTAAAATGCGCATGCCTAGGATGTCGAAACTAGTTCGGGATCAGCACCTAAACTAAGTAATCTGTATTCTGGTAAACTTTTTAACTAATCAGTAACTTTATACAACATTTTTAACTTAAATTTATAATTATAATATATGAATTTAAGGGTTAATCCATTTTTACATACCTTTTACGAGTAAATCTGGCACTGATCTATACTTTAAATTGGTTCTGTTTTTATAAGCTGGAAACTTGCTTTTTTCTGAAAAATGTTTATCACATACTCTATAGTTTTTCCTGATGATTGCTTTCCCTCTTGGCAACAGGTCCGGTCTACCAATGGCAATAATCCATTTGTGGAGCAGCTAAAATGTTAAATCCCAGCCTTTATATTGATATTTGTATATTGTTGGTTGACACGCAAACGACCAAAGTTTATTAACAATAATTATTCATAATAAACTACATGGTACTACTTACTATATTTGTGTAAGTAAGTAATTTATTGTTTTAATAACATAGATATAATTGAATAATACAATACAAACCTCGTCATCATTCGGAAAAGTATGCATCATAACTTGACTGTTGACTGTAGAGCAGCCCACAGCACAGCAATAGAACACCATGTTTAATGTTTAAGAGTACACAAATAACGATAAATCACAGTTTTTAAAGTTTTTAAACGTACAGAACAACAAATAAACACAATTAGCAAACACTCAGGTTAGGTTCATAAACCAAACTGAAGTTTGTTGATTTCGTTACCAAGCAACCGTCAAGATTAACCGCCGCTGCTGCCACATGCAACTCGAGTGTAAACTAAAACCAAAGTCGACTAGACAAAAATGTGGATTTTGTTTGTTTAAGGCGAGTGCACAGGGCATGGATGAATCTGCAAAGTTTTTAAGATTTTTTATTGAAACTTTTATTTGTGTCAAAAACTACAACTTGCATATATTTTTAATAATATTTCTATAGTTACATAAACAAACCTAAAACACCCTATATACTGAATTCAATTATTTTTTGACAAAACGTATTTTGTATGCGAAGTCTGCTCCTGTGTTAAATTTTTAGGTTAGATAACCAACAAAAAACAGTAATTTTGTTTAGGGCAACACTGTTTCCATTTGGTTTGCAGCACTGGTAACCGATTTAACCGATCATACAGCGTCGGTCGTTTCGGTAACGATTGGTTAACCTATTTTTCAGGAACCGCGTTTCTTAACCACATAATTTTCAGTAATTTTTCATTTACGGGACACCTTAACCGAAACCAAACCAACCAAGTTGACTTACGGAACATACCCTTAAATTTTTTGAATATTTTGTAAAATTTGAAAGATTTGAAATTGTGGCACTTCAGTCACGGGCTGAAGTTAGCTTTATTATAAAAAGGAAAAAAGTGAGGTTAATTCCTAATGACAGTTGACAGATGTCAAATTTTTAACAAATAACATTGGTTATTTAATACTGTTTGTGTTCGTCGTAGATAAAGTATAGAATGCAACTCGTTTATAAACTTCTCTAGACAATCGTTTTTATTAAACACTCTCTCGCAAGCTTTGCTTGTGCTTAATTAAACTCTAAACTAAAATGTCGTTTATAAAACTTGATACATATACATTATAATATACTATTGTAACGCGACTGGTTACTGCGAAACAGCAGTTACAGCAAAGAAGTACACTACTCATGACTTGGCAGCAGTGTAATGTTTAGGGTAATGGTTAATTTAGAACATCAGCGATTGATGTTTATAAAGTAACTATTGGTCCTTTTGCAGTAATTTGCAAAATATTGTGCTCAGAGTACAGTGGTCTACAGTTCCTGGCAGTACTCATTGATGTGACAAAAGTAACTATTGCTGCTGTTGAAATAATCTGTGAGGTTTTATTAGACATTGTATAATTTCAGTAGTACTGTATCAGTGTTTTGCGCATCAATTTCAGCACACGTTTAGTTTTCATGCAATTTCAAATGAATGGAAGTTGTATAAAATGTATTTATAATATTTATATTTTAGATACATCCAAGTCGAAACAGAATTCTTCAAAAAATGGTGGGACGAAGCGACGGAATCTCAACGCGAAGATTTCCAAAATTTAGTCAACCGAGGCCAAATCGAGATGATCAACGGCGCAATTGCAATGAACGACGAAGCTTGCACCAACTACCAATCCACCATAGATCAGTTCACCTGGGGTTTGCGGTTTTTGAACGACACTCTAGGGGCGTGTGGTGCCCCCAAAATCGGGTGGCAGATCGATCCTTTCGGTCACAGTAGAGAGCAGGCGAATTTGTTTACCCAGTTCGGTTACAATGGGTTTTTCTTTGCTAGGTTGGATGAGAATGATAGGTTGCACAGGAAGGCAAACAAGAGAATGGACTTTTTGTGGCAAGGCAGTGATAATATTGGTAACATAGTTTTTTTTCGGATTTCTAGGTTTTTAGTCCGAATGAAATTCTAATATTTAATAACAAAAAAAAAGTCTTTATTGGGTTAACCAAAGGGCTATCGACCTAGGTCCTTCTGCCCGTTTACAACAAATAATATGTTTCTATAGATTGTTAGACATTGAATGGTATATAAATATATATAAAAAAATTATGAACTTATATAAAAAAAAATAACAAATTTTATCATAATACTCATATATTTAAACCAATAAAAAGGGGAATGCTATTTCTTTAATAATTCCCACAAGGTGAGGCTTGGGTTTTTGCTTCTTCTTTGTTCATCTCCCAGATTGATTCAATATTTTTGATTTTAGATTCTGATTCTTTAAATCTTTTGGCGAGTTCTTGTATGCGTGTAAGGATGTTGGGAATATTAATAATCTCATAAAGGAGGGTGTTTGGTGAGTTATGGAGGGGGTTGTTGGGGTGTCGGGTTTTTGTGATTTTTCTGATTGCTGATGTTTCTGCAGTTTTTTAAGGCAGGTTTTGGTGCTTTTCATGAATAAGATACTACCATATTCCAGGATGGGACGACATATCATGGTGTATATTTTTTTTGCAGTATGTTTATCTATGCCTTTATTTTGGTACGTTAGAGATCTAAAGTGAGCCGCTCTGTTAACTGTGTTGGTTTTCATTATGTTACAGTGGGAGTTAAAGTTTAGTTTGTTGTCTATATTAATGCCCAGATATTTGGTTGATTGGCTTGGTGTGACTTGGTGGTTGTATAAAAGGATACGCCAAAAAAATGGCAGAATGCTAATAGGTCTAAAGTTATTAAAGTCTTCGGAATTACCGCCCTTATGCAGTAATATTACTTTTGCAGATTTTAGTACATCCGGAAAAATGCATGCTTCTAAGCATTTGTTTATTAATTTTGTTAAAGGTATAAATATTACATTTAGTACACACTTAACTAGAACAACAGAGATACCATAACAATCCTTGCTATTTTTATTATTTAATCTTTTTATAATGTCTCTAACTTGAATGTAAGTGATGCTATTTAGATTAAATTTGGGGTAATTATTATTAGTTTTTTTAAGATAGTGTTTAAAATTTGTATTTGTAGGTGGCAGCTCCTTATTTATTGTTTCAGCAATGGAGACAAAAAAATTGTTGATATCATTTACATTACCTTTAAATGTAGTTGTGGACTTTGTACTTTTACGATTTAGGTTGATTATATCCCAATATGCTTTAGATTTGTTATTAGCTTTGTTAATATATTTTGTGTTATTTGCTTTTTTTGAATTTTGTAATGCCTTTCTGTACCTGCATCTAAATTTATTTTTTTGTTCTAAAAAATCAGTACAAGGAAAATTAATATACATCTGGGTAAGCACGAGCAAATGCTCCCTCATATCTGCAAGATCAGATGTAAACCAGTTTCCTCCTCTATTAATTTGTTTATTATTTTCTTTTTTTGTTATTATTGGAAAAGCCAAATCTATATTTGCTCTAAATATCTCAATAAAACTTGTAAATTTGACATTAACATCGACCTGGTCTTCATCCACAAAACCCCAGTCAGCTCTCTCCATCAAATTATAAAAAGTGTTTAAGCCCTCATCCGTATATTTTCTTACCCTAATAACCTTTGGTTCTTTATAGCATGATGTTTCCATTGAAAAAGTTATTGCCCTATGGTCAGATAGTCCAGGTTCAGTCACGTCGCACTCGAAAGGACCCTCAAAATTAATTAAAACATTGTCAATGCAATTTTTTAATCGGGTGCTTTTATGGTTAACAAACCTAAAATTGTAGGACAAAATTAGATTATTAAAACTTAAGAAATTTGGTAGATTATTAATATTTTTATTATTATTATTTCTTCTATTAAGTTACTCTTATTGGTGCCTAATCCGGTCTCTATTTAGTATTTTAACACGTGTTATTTTAAATTATACTTATGTTTCACATTAATTTGAAAATATATCAAAATAATGTAAAATGTAGCTGCATGATTTAAAAAAATATATTAACATTCTATTTATAGATAAACATTTTTATTAATTTAGATATACCGACGTTCCCAAATAAATTCATTTTTAATTGAAAATTTAACGTGAAATTAGTAATTTCAAATTAGTAAATTGGTAATTTCCAAAACGTTTCCAAATAATTTAAATTTTAATTAAAAATTTAAAGTGAAATTAGTAATTTTAAATTAGTAACTAAGTAATTTCAAATTACCCATAGATATATCAATATATTGTTGAATATATCGACGTTCGTAAATAAGAACACCGTAACTAATAAATTAGATCTCTATATAAAAGTATCTTTTCCTTCGAGCCCATTTTTTTCAAAAATTTGTAAAACAAAATTTCTTTTTTGATAATTCTGTAGTTTATTAGAAGCTAGAACGATTATAAAGCAGCGGCGAACACACAACAATTCCATTGTGTTAAACTGGATGACGATAATATTTTAAAAGTTTAAACTTATTCTATTATTTAAAAAGTGGGTTTTACAAAATCTAAAATTAAAATAAGCTTTGAAAAACGTATGAAGCATATTTCACTCATGCATTGTTGTAAACTGGAACAGTGAACATTGAAGTGAAAATTCAAAAATTATTTGAAATACCACCTTTCTATGACACCGATACTTATATAAATATTTGAAATAAGATATAATGTCTAACTTTTGCCAACAAACGTTAGAAGTTTGTTGAAAACCTATTTGTTTATAAAATTTGCATAAACAAATGTCTAAATACTTTTTTTATTTAAATATTTGAAATAAGATAAACTGCTCGTCATAAGAATCAAAATGGAAAATATTTGAAAGCTCTTTATTGGAAAATTACTAAATCGATTTTGAAAATCTTTGGAAATTCTTAATAGCTGATTCTTTGACTCTTATGTCAAATTTTGTGAATACGATATTTTGCACATAGCATTATACTACAGGGTGTTAAACGAAGAGATGTATTTTTCCGAAATTTCAAGTTATTCCCATTCATGAGGCAGTAGAGTTTGATAGTCGTAATACCCCTCCCTAATATTAGTAAGAGATGTATTTTTTCCGAAATTTCAAGTTATTCCCATTCACAGGGCAGTTGTGCTTGATAGTCCTAATACTCCTCCCTAATAATAGTTAGGTAATCCCTCGGGACATTTTCGAGATTTAATGGATATCTTGGCTAACCACAATTGTACGGCAATTTTTCGAAAATTCACGTTATTTTTCATTTTAGTCCAAAAAATCAGCAATAGTTGATTTTTTTACTCTTATGTCTAATTTTGGGAATACAATATTGTGCACATAGCATGATACTACAGGGTGTTAAAAAAAGAGATGTTTTTTTCCAAAATTCCAAATCCCCATTCACAGGGCAGTTGAGCTTGATATTCCTAATACCCCTTCCTAATAACAGTTAGGTAATCCCTCGGTACATTTTCGAGATTTTGTGAATATCTTGGCTAACTACGATTATATACCAATTTTTCTAAAATTGTCGTTATTCCCCAGTTGTCCAAAAATGAGCAATAGTGGATTCTTTGACTTACGTCCAATTTTGGAAATACGATATTGTGCACATAGCATTATACAACAGGATGTTAAAAAAAGAGATGTTTTTTCCAAAATTCCAAATCACCATTCACAGGGCAGTTGAGCCTGATAGTCATAATACCCCTTCCCAATAACAGGTAATCCCTCGGGACATTTTCGAGATTTTGTGGATATCTTGGATAACTACGATTATATGGCAGTTTTTCGAAAATTTACGTTATTCTTCACTTAAGTCCCAAAAATGAGCAAACTACGAAAAGTATCGATTCCCCAATTTGCATGTTCTTGTGCCCATCTTCTTCTAGCAGAAAAAGAGGGCAGGCAGCTCTTCATCTTGCGTGGTATGCAATCTTACATCCGTCATTTTATTTTTTTAAATGTGATTTGCTGTTTGAAAACTACGGAAGGTATCAACACAGCGTTTTAAGGTAGGTTACTTGCTTCCAGTTTCTGTACGTTGCGTGATTCATTAAAAGTGAAATGTTTCACACAAAACCATTTTTTTTTTCGGTTAAATTCAAAATAAAAACGCAAACCAAACAAAATTATTCTCGTAAACTTATGCAGGCTATATTCATGCAATTTTCTACGTACAAACGGTTGACTATGAATTTTTATGACGAGCAGTTTATAATGTCTATCTTTTGCCAACAAACGTTAGAAGTTTGTTGAATCCTATTCTATTTACAAACGGTTGTATAAGGGTCGGTTTTTCTAGTCCTAAAACTCCAAAATATTCCATATAATTTAAAAATAAAAATACGTAAAATGGATAAAAATTCCCTATTAAAAAAATAAATAAAATATCAGGCAACACAAGTTTAAGAAAACTTTTCTTTGGAGAATTATTTAACTAAAACTTAATTTTAAGAAAATCCCGACGAAATTTTTTTGTCGATGTTTAAAAAGTTTTAATAAACGCCAGTTTTAAATTTATTTTAACGTTTATATTTCAAAGAATATTAGTTTAATAAAGTTAACGAGGGAACCATATGGTACAAATGTGTACCCAAACAGGTTAAAATAACTAAGAATCGTTACTAATCTAATCGTAAAAAGTTGTAACAAATATTTTAGATATTTTATTCATACAATTTTAATGTTATCATTTTTTACAGAAAGTAGTAACATATTTGGCAGCGTTTTTGGCTCGGATAACCTCTACTTTCCTCCACAAGATCTAAATTGGGATGTTGGCGAGACGAACGATCCAATAATCGATAATCCAAGCAGCCCTGATTATAATGTACCCTTTTTCGTAAGTTTTTAAAAATAATAATAATAATATTAATAACGAAATGTACAAACATTTTAGCTTAAAAGTGTGCAAAATACAGTGAACAGATACAAGAAGTGGTTTCCTACAAATAACTTACTTTTTACAATGGGTGGGGATTTTCAATATCAATCAGCTGAGATGCTTTACATGAATATGGACAGATTAATAAAGTAATAACACTCTTTTCAGTCCAGTCTAATTTTTCATAAAATTTTGCGTTAAATCGAACCTCAATGCCCTTTTTGTCCACCCATTACCATTAGACTGGACTATACCTTCAAAACCTAAACTGTTTCAGAATATTCAAAAATCACACCGAAATCAACGTGATCTACTCCACGCCGTCTTGCTACCTAAAAGCGGTAAACGACGCCAAACCAAACCTAACCCTAAAAACCGACGACTTCTTCCCGTACGGTAACAGCGACCACGAATACTGGGCCGGATACTTCACCTCAAGACCCAACTCGAAGAGATTCGAAAGAGTCGGAAACAACATTCTTCAAGCTACCAAACAATTGACGGCGTTGTCGAAAATCCTGTCAGGTCATGATTTTACCGATGACGTGAACGACCTGAGGGAACAAATGGGCATCATGCAACACCACGATGCTATCACTGGTACAGAAAAGCAAAACGTTACCAAGGATTATGTGAGGAGATTGACGAAAGGGATCAGGAATGCTGAAAAACATTTTTCTGAAATTTTAGGGTAAGTTAAGTTTTTTATACCTGTAATTTGACCTTTTGAGTCTTCAGACCAAACTGCTATAATTATGTAGTTTTACAAAATTTAACCAACATTCTACTGTTGGAATTAGACTCCCAATAAACATTTTTGTTTTTGTAGTGGTTGCCATAAATGTTATATTACCCAAATTATAAAACTAAAATTTCTTAATTTGGTTACAGTAATATTTATATCACCCTTATATACCCCTTAAAGAGCTTATTTGAGGAGTTTATAAAGGTAATTGTTACTTGTGTTTAGTAACACTATGAAACTTAAGTTTTATAACTAAGAGTAACAGAAATAATTTGGAGACCACTATATAACTTCTTAAATAACTGCGTTAAACACCTTAAGTTATATAATGTAGTTTTATATTGGTTCCGGTTACTCTTTCAACCTTGGCAGGCCCATTTTTTTAAATCATATATACAGTATGTCTCAGTACCTTGGAATCATATGGAAAACTTTTTTATTATTAATTTTAGGAAAAAAAGTTATTCTTTATAAAAAGTTCTGCATGGTGTAAAACTTAAAATGCAACTCACAAATATTATTTTTTTTTAGTCGTATACGGGGTATGTCAAAAAATATGAATTTGGCTCAAGAGTAAAGTACCTTTATATTTGACAATATCGAAAATTGTTATAAAGAAAAGTTAATCAGAACTAAAAACTACGTTCAAATATGCAATTACATCCATTTACATTTTTGTCTACAATATCAATGCAAATTTAACTGTAACATGTAATCTAGGATTCACTGATAAACAAATGATTTGTTGATATTCTAAAACTTTTTGGCCTGCTAGATCCCCTGACTTAACTTAAGGTTTTCATGTTTTTTGTAATCATAACAGATAAATGTTCATTTAAAATAGAAAGATCAGTAAAAATTAACAAAACCTAATTTTTTAATGTAAATGTATGAAATTGCATATTTAAACGTAGTTTTTAGTTCTGATTAACTTTTCTTTATAACAATTTTTGATATTGTCAAATATAAAGGTACTTTACTCTTGCGCCAAATTCATATTTTTTGACATACCTCGTATACGACTAAAAAAAATTTATATTTGTGGGTTGAATTTTAAGTTTTACACCATGCAGAACTTTTTATGAAGAATAACTTTTTTTCCTAAAATTAATAATAAAAAAGTTTTCCATATGATTCCAAGATACTGAGACATACTGTATATATATATATATATATATATATATATATATAGATTGATAAAGGGTACAATGTCACCTCCAAAACGGAGAACCTTCATACGTTGTGACCTCATATATGACGCTGTGACCTCCAAATTCGGAGGTCACAGTGTTTAACCATATTTTTGACATTGGGGGAGTGTCAGTAATCAATCTGTGCAAAAATATTTCGGAGGTCACTTTGACCCCCCAGTCTCTTAAAAAGGAACTTTTAGTTCCACCATATATGAATTGGCGCTAGTGTCGCTTTTTAATCAGATTCAGCCACACCAAAGTTACCTCCGTCATGTATACGTACATTTGTTACCTCCGAAATTTGGCAACCTTGCAATATCTCGCGCAGTCATAGATGTTCAGACTTGATGATCTTTAATACTTCTTATATGTTATTTGTTACGCAGTTACGCGGTTTGACTTTTGTTCTAACATCTTAAGTGTAAAATAACGATTTAAGTTAAAAATATATCTTCCAGGACGTAATTAATAATCCAGAGACGTACATAATTAGGTAAATGCATTATGTTTATAGAAATGGATATTGTAAAATAATTCTTTTAGATTTAGACGATACTAGTAATGATGAAATCATTACCAAAAAAGATAAAGAATTTAAACAAAAAAAGTACAAAATGATTTTAACGGTTCCCGGTCACTTTCCCGAATGCAATTTCCCGACTGACCAATTTCCCGATAGATCATTTTCCCGACAAACCATTTTCCCGACGACGTTTTCCCCGACAGCACTCTTCCCGACAGACTATGTTCACGACAAAAATCTTATTATCCACTTAAGAAACGTTTTTCCCGAAAGATTATGTTCACGACAAAAGTTTTATTATCTAGTAAAGAAAAACATACCTGGTCAAAAATGATTTCGGTATCCGCTTGTTCCTTCTGAAATTCTGTAAGGGCCAATGGGGCGGGGTCGGTTGGGTTGGGTTGTTGGGTTTGGGCTGGTTTTGAAGCGGGCGGACTCGGGACGTTGGTTAAGGAAAAAAGATCTGCTTCTCGTCCTAAGATTGCGTCATTGGATGACGTCACTCTGTTAAAATATTGTGTCGTTTGTGGTAAAAATTATTTGTCTTAAAAATGACTTGTCGGGAAAATGGCTTGTCAGGAAATGGCTTGTCGGGAAAACGACTTTCGGGAAAACGACTTTCGGAAAAATGGTGTCGGGAAAAATCTTGTCGGGAAAATGGTGTGTCGGGAAAATGGTCTGTCGGGAAATTGGTCTGTCGGGAAAATGACTTTCGGAAAAGTGACCGGTAATCGATTTTAACACATAAAATGTGTTTAAACAATATTTTTTACTCACACAATCTTTTTTTACTTTTATTTGTTTAAAAATGTGTTATTATTTTTAGGCTGCACCAATATGGAAATCGGGTTCATAAAGGATAAATTCCTTAACCATATTAAAAAAATATTTATTCATCTAGCAAAGAAATTAAATCTTTTCTAGAACAAACGAAAATAAAAAGAAGTGTATCCCTTATTAAAGCCAAAGTCCAACACCTTAAGAAAAACGAAAAAAAAACATTAATTAGTTACCCTTATGATAATTATAATTATAATAATTATTATTCATAACTATTTTAATAGATAAAAATGTTTTACTTTACTTATGTTTTTTAGTTATCCCTATTTATTGTTTACTTAAATTTCTTTCTTATATTTTTATTAATATAATAATAAAAATATCAAAAATATTAAAAATAAAAATATTAGAAATAAAGAAATAATTAAAAAAGTAAAATTGACAAAATAATAAAAAAGTATACTAATAAATATATTCAAAATGATTGGGTATAATAATTATTAGAAAAATTATTAAAAATAATTAAAAAAGTAAAATTGATAAAAATAATAAAAAAGTATACTAATAAATATATTCAAAATGATTGGGTATAATAATTATTGGAAAAATTATTAAAAATAATATAATAAGATTAATTTTTTAAAATTATAAATAAAAATAATATGAATAAAACAATTAAAATAATACAATAAAACTAAATAAAAATAAATAAATAATGAAGATTGTAAAAGAAATATAAATAATTGAAGTAGATACCTACGTAATAAAAATATTAACAAAAAAAATATTTATAAATTATATAAATATAAAATATAAATTAAAAAAAATAAAAATAATACAAAAATACAATTGAAATATTAAAAATAATAATATCTACTAATAAATATTAAAATAACAAAACTTATTGATAATAATAATATTAATAATTCTTTCAAAAGTCAATCGGTTTGAAAAGTTTTTAAAAAACTACTTGCAAGCAAAACAGTACATATACAATGACCCATTTTTTTTTTACAACTCACCCCTGTAAAATCATTAATTATTGTGCGATTTTAAACGGATTTGTTTTATGGAGTAGATCTTGATAAACTGTATATTTGGAGCAAAAAACGCCATATTTGTACAAAATGCAAGGCCTACTATGTCAGTTTTTAAGAGTAATTTTTTAAGAATTCATATTAGCGATTTTTTTAAACAAAATCTAAGCACGGCACTGGATTCACCACCCCCTCAAAACGACCCTTTACTAAACTTTATTAAAAAAATTTAAGTAGAAAAATGCACAATAAGTACAAAAATTTATCGTCGTTATCCATGAAAAAAACATTGAAATAAAATTAAACTTATAATAAGTATACCATGTTATACTATTAGTTTAATTTTATTTCAATGTTTCTTTCATGTATAACTTGACAAAATAATTTTTTGTAGTTATTATTTTTCTATATTTTTCTATTTACATTTTTAATATAATTTAGTATAAGGTCATTTTGAGGGGTGGTGAATCCAGTGCCGTGCTTAGATTTTGTTTTAAAAAAATCGCTAATATGAATTCTTAAAAATTAACTCTTAAAAACTGACATAGTAGGCCTTGTATTTAGTAAAAATATGGCGTTTTTGCAAAAATGCAGTTTATCGAGATTTTACCTTTAAAACAAATCTGGTAAAAATCGCACGATAAATAAAGATTTTACAGCTGTAAAATCCCAACCCCTAGGGGTTATGTAATAAAACATTTTTTTGCCATTATACCTGCAAGACCTATCATATACCAATACGTTCTTTTTTAAATCAAATAAATTATTTATTTCAAAGTACTCCATTTATATTATTTTTAATATTTTGTCTTTTATAACAAAAATAATAATAATTATTATTATTACTAAATAATGTATGGCACATATAGCACGAAGCAGTGGACAAAATAAATCTGATATATATCCCAGATACTAAAGATACGTTGCGACCTCCGAAAATCCGGCAACACTGTCGGAGGATACAAGGCTGTTTGTTTCTCCGAAATTATATATATATTCGGAGGTGACTTTGTATCTTGAGTATCTCCAGTTTGCGTAAAAAAATTGACATTTTAAAAAATTAAAAATTGCTTCCCCTCTTGTGGTGGCGTTAATATTTAAGGCTCCCCCCCGCAATATATGCAATCAAAATAAAAATCGTCCATTCCGCAGACCCGGAGGAGAGGTGGCCCTCTCAACTTAACGGAGGTCACAGCTGACCACTTATCTATATATAGTATATATATATATATATATATATGCTTCATTTTTTAAAGTTTCTGACTCTTGTTCATCAAAAATATCAACATCCACAAATTCGTTGATCCAATTATTTCTTTCATCGCCCAAAATCTTCTTTTCGGTAGTACATTCGATATTCTCAATGGCTGGAGACACATTTTCAAATGGTGTGGATTATCGTTATACATTATC